AACTAAATGCATTTTTAATTACTATTATCGAATATTAATTTCTAATCATCTGCCTGGCAGCTTGCTACAGGCTGCAGCAAGCTAGTTGGGGAGAGGCTCTATTCCCCTGCCCCCTCAAATTTTTAAATTTTTTTTTCATGGACAAGCGGGTTAATCGCGGCTCGTGAAGGTACAACCCGCGAAACCCGCGGGTCACATCTCTTTGACCCGTGAACCGCCCACTCGAGTAACGGGTCGGCCCGCGGTCCCGAATCGATTTAGACAGATTTTCACGGGTCTAACTAGCCTGTCCGTCTTGACACCTCTAAAATGGTGTACTCAAACTCACAAAAAATGAGGGCCCCACGGGAATTCAAAAATGGCGGCGGTGTGGTCCCCACTCCTCTTGTGTGTAGTGAGTAAGTGAGTTTGTAAATCATGTAGTACTTCTAGCATAGTCCTATGGATTTTTGGATGAATATCATATATATTTCGGCTAAAATTAATCACGAAAATCGTCAATATTTTATTGTTGTTAATGTAGATTATGGATCAAATACTAAAAGAATTGCAATACAAACTCAATTATGTTGCAAAATGTCTTGAAACTTTCCTTATAGCATCTTGTAAAATTATTTTGTTGTATGAAATGACAGTTGAAAAGCATTCCTAAATTTTCAAGATAGGCCGATGTTAATTGTACAAATTTAGTTGTTAAAATTCGACTACCTTAAAACATAGTGAGCAATAAAATGCATTTTTAAAAGTATAATGGGTAATCAAAGAAGTCTTTCAAACTATAGTGAGCAATTAAATACATATTTTCTCAAGTTGCAATTTGAAATATCATTAGTTACATCACTGTTTGTCATTTCCATGCTAAAAATGTGTGAGTACAAATAGCATTTTCCAAATCCATAATCTATATTAACAGAAAAAAAAATATACACAAAAACCATCAAATATTTCTTAGCAGCCAAAAACCATCCAAATATCTTGAAACATGTTGCAAAATTATTTTGTTGTAAGAAAATGATACTTGGAAAGCATTCCTATATTATCAGAATAGGTCGACGTCAATTTTATAAATTTAGAGGTCAAAATTCGACCACCTTAAAGCACAGTGAACAATCAAAATCATTTTTAAAAGTATATAGTGAACAATCAAAGACGCCTTTAAGAGTAGAGTTGCTATCAAAGACGCCTTCAAAAAATAGTGAACAATCAAAAGTGCATTTTCTTACTTGGCAATTTGATGTACTGTGAGTTACGCCACCAATGCATTATGTACATCATGTCTCTAATTTCGTTAGAGTTAACTAACGGATATCATGTCAGTGAGTAACGTCCAACATTTTGATAAGTATAGTGATCAAAACTCAACATCTGAAATTTCAACGAGCAGTAAAAAATATAGACATAAGTTTAATGATTATTAGGACAATTTTAACTCCTTAAAACCCTTTCTTCTCTAAATTTATTATTTTATCATGCAATTGGAGCCTTGGCACCTATAGGTGTAGAATATTTATTTTATTTCATTTTATCAAAAAAATTTATGCATGTTATGAGGTATTCAACAGGCTCATCATTGAGTTCAAAATTGTAGTTCGAGGGTGATTATACAAAGTTATTATTACAATGCTCTTAATTCCTATATCATTGAGGGGTGTGCCTTGGAAGAATCGATTTGTTACTATGTCATCTTATTAGAAATAACAAGAGCGTCTCTAAATACTCAAAATTTTATATCTCAAGCAAATTTTTGAAAAAATTACTCAAGTTTAGCAAATGCAGCTCTTCAAGGTTGGATCTTGGGTAGGGGTAACTTCTACCAAGATTTCATCTCACGGATGAAAGAACTCACAGTTAAGTGCTACCTCCATACTCGAGTGGATCAACTCTGTTGACGAGGATTGCCTCTAATTGTACAATCATGAAGACCTATACAGTTCAAATCTTTGTGAATTTTGTTTATAGTTTTGTCCTTACCCTTACTCTCTTTATCATGATGGACAACAAACTTGTATGTGGCACGACTAAAGATGTTTTTGAACCCCCTAAAAAAAGGATCATTGAGATGCAGCCAGATCCCACTTTTGAACGGTGACTCTTGAAATGTTTGGTGATACCTTGCATAATAGAAACGTCATCCCAAGTGTACAACAACCATTTGTCCACATTTTACGAACCAGCCCCAATATTAGCAGAATTCTGCAATTTAGCCCCTCCAATTTCTGAATTAAGTCAGACCCTGCTGTTTCTAGAATGTACAAATTGGTACCCCTAAGGTTTCAATGTTCTATAAATTGGTCCTTAAACTTTTGGACAGTTTCGTATCGGTCCCTGAACTCTCTATAGAGACACATTGGTCCTTGAACATTTATTTTACAGCAATTTGGCCCCTGATGTTTCTAAATTGTTTAAATCAACCCTTAAACATTCAATTTTCACATATGCCACTGAACTTTGTGGGAGATACAAATGGTTACTAAAATTTTTAATTTGTTTAGATTGATCCATGTTGGTTGGTTAGAAAGATTGAATGACACATGACCCACCATTGTTGTCCAAAGAGTGCATGCTTGTGCTTTTCTGGAGCAATCTTGGATGCCCATTTGAATTTAATATATATTTTGTTCTGGGTTGTGATTAATGAGGTTCAGAGTTTGAAATTGTAGTTACAATTGCTATTTTCCGACATTCCTATATTGCAGTTAAATTTGGTATGATAGTGATTAGTCGATAAATGGTAAATCTATTGAGTTGTTTTCTATGGCAATGATATTGCATATGAAAAGGATATGAATTAGAATTGTGATTGATTTTCTTGGGTTTGTTGTTTTGTTCTCTACAATGGCAAAGGATATGGATTCACATGAAATTGTGGTATCCAACGTGACATCAAGTATAAAGTTGAATTGTCATCGGAGAATTTAACTTTTTTTTAGCTATTGCTTTGTGTGGGTGGAATCCTGATTTATTTATTATGTATTTTTAAATTAAATACAATTTAAATTTTAAAATGTAGAAAAAAATAAGGCCAATTTGATTGACCCAAGTTTTCCATGGAAAACGGAAAATGAATTCCATCATCCATTTTTTTCATGTTTGATACACTTTTTTTTTTCAGGCAAATGATTTTCTTGATTTTGTCTCTTACGTGCCATTTTCCATGATTTAAGGGAAGGTGAAAATTGGTTTTCCAGTTTAGCCCTTTATTTTAATTTTTTTAAAATTTTTTGGCAATGGGAACAAATGTTAGACCAAATGGTAAAAAAAAATTATCACTTTAATGGACAATTTCCATGAAAAACGAAGTCAAACGGATACCAAACTTTTGACATTTTTTAGGTGAAAAATTATATCAATCAAACACAATTAATTACAATTTTCAGTAAAATAAATTCTAGACAATTTAATTCTCTGTAATTTATTTATTTTTCCACACAATTTCCACGTTTGCAATCATCAGGACCTGATGGAAAATGAAAGATGGGACTTCTCCCGTTTCAATTCCCGTTATAGCGGAACGGGATACTTTGCCAACTCCAAAATTGTAAACTATAAATTAATCTCAAAATATGAAACAAGCTCCGAGAAATTCTCTAACGGTACTCTGTACTTCCAATTTTGTATGGCAGAATTTGTGTAAAAATCGTTTTCAAAAATATATCTGAATTCAATCTTCAATTAGGGACTTAGAACAACTCGAGATTTTACTAGAAAATTAAAGAAAATTATTTATTAAATTCACGGGGATCTTGCAATTTGGTAGTTTTTATTTCCTTCTTTGCACGTGGAGTATTAAATTACAGGCGATGCAAGTTGTATGCTTTTTCATATCCAGAAGTTTAATCACATGGCCACGCTTCAAATGTAATTTTTTTGTTTTTGTTTTTGAGGACGTATGAACCCTAATTGTGATTTGTTTCTATATATATATGATTATGAAAAATTCGTTATAATCGTTATTGATAGGGACTCTTGTGGTAGATTTTTCCTAATCAAAGTCAATTTTTTGCTAACTTCCATGTTAATTTACAGGTAAGATTCTTTTGCAATTTCAAGCAAGGAATAGATCCCAGTTCATAGATGCTACTTAGAAGCTCGTCAACCCCTGTAGCTCTAGCCATTTTCTCAGAGAGTCCTAATAGATTACATGCAAATGATCATTGCATAACCAAAATGTCACTTCTTCGTGGCGTGCATAGTTTGAATTCACTTTCTTGCAATTCATCGCCCGAGTCTCTTTCAAATTCTTGGTTACCTGATTTTAGTCCAAAATCCAATAGCGTTAGATGGAAAAAGCTGCGCAGAGCTCTGTCTGATAGCAATTTGGAAGAACTAGCTTCAACCTCGTTTGATAATAATGAAGTTTGGAGCTCAATAACATTGATTAATAAATCTTTAAATAAGCACCACAAGTCAATGTTGTACACAGAACCATCTTTTTCAATATATAATACGAACGATAAGTTTGAAGAGAGGGAAAATGGAGATTCGGCTGGTGGGAAGCTGGAGAGGAGCGCGACAATTGGAGAAAGTATTGAGGGTGAATTTTGTTTTGGAAAGAACTTAATGTGTAAGAACGAGGAAGGCGATAATGAACAAGAAGAAGAAGAAAGAAAGGGAAATTTGAGTCAATTCAAAGATCTAAAATTTGAATTCCAAGGTGAGTCTAAGAGTCGAGTAATTTATTACGATAAAGGGGCCAGGATTCAAGGTAATAGTATTGATGGAAGTATTGAACCATCATATTTCAATGATGGCGATGATCTTGAGAACTATTACAAGATGATGGTTAGGGAAGATCCTTCCAACCCTTTCCTTCTGAGGAACTATGCTCGACTTCTGCAGGTTAGCTTTTTCGTACTGAATAAAGTTTGCTGCCTTATTTCTGATTTTTGGTTGATATAAGCTCTCACCATTTTTTTTACTATTTTTCAAATAATTTAACTGGTAGGTAGCTAGAATTTGGTGCCACAATTGCACTCCAATTTATACCTGTGAGTCTGTCCAGCAAAATATGATTTAACCATCATTTTCTTATTCTAAATAACATGTCAACATTATTGACAGACGAAGGGGGATTTTTTGGGAGCTGAGGAATACCATTCCTGTGCTATATTAGGAGACCCTGAAGACTATCAAACTCTTATGCAATATGCGAAATTGATGTGGGAGCTATATCGTGACCAAGATAAAGCCTCTACTTATTTCGAAAGAGCTGCCCAGGCTGCTTCTGAAGATAGGTAAGTGATCTATTGTGTACCTTATCTTGTTTCAGGAAACAACCCAACAATTGACTTCGAAGAGTTTAAAACTTGAACGTGGTGCCGGTGGTTGATTCTAGACTGAAAAAACCCACTTTGGAACACCTCTTCTTTCCAAACTAGATTTGCAGTTGCTGATTCACATTTATTGTTTTCAGCCATGTTCTTGCAGCACAGGCTAGTTTCCTTTGGGAAATAGATGACAATGAGGATGAAGACCGCTCACCTAATGACCCGAGTCAGGTGAATATCTTCCTACGAATAATTTTGGTCAGACATAGTTTGAGTGTTTAACCAACATTCTTTATAAACATCAGATTGAAGAAAACACTGCCCCGATTGACCTTCAGAAAATGCACTTTGAAGACAATAATATACCAGCTAGACCTCCTTTACACATAGCAATGGGGCTGGGAATTGATGTGCCTAGTTTCTGTGGTGGCATTGGTAATGATGTTGAGGAATATTACTGCAGGATGGTCGAGGAAAATCCTCATAACAATATATTTTTAAGGAATTATGCTCAGTTCTTACATCAGGTAATTGCATTCTTTCTGTTTTTTGAAGTTTCACATCTATGTGATCAATCATTTGAATTATCATTGATTGACATTATTACACATGAGCCTTAGTCGTATTCCATCTTTGTTGATATGTTCAGTAAGAAGATTCAATTGTGGTTTTTGGTCAATATAATTTGAGTTAGTATTCTTCAAATGACCTTGTCATGTAGTTGAGTTATCCATGGTTACAAGGTTTTATGTGCACGGTCCAGCTTCCATAAGTTAGAAGAGAAATCTGAACTAGGAGATTATGATATTCTACAATGGTATTGATGTAGGAAATAAAACCATAATGTTTACCGTCATAAGATCGTTCATGTTGGATCATCAAGAAATAATTAACCAAAATCGTAAGCGTACTTGGATCAGACATGATTATCGCAATGAATAAGTCCTGCGGTTTCAGT